TACAACGTGGTGTATATGATAACAAGTTTTTTTTTAACATCACAGGAGCCTCTAAAATCATGCTACATGCATCTTTTACGAAGTATGTTGAAAATATTAACTTGTCTTCTTTAATGAGCACCTTCTCAACCACTCCTAAATGGTTTTTAATTGATTGGTTTGCTAGTTGGAGGGAGATTGTAATGTTTTTTAGCTCTTCCAAACCTAATTTTGTGTAGACAAAAATATGCATTAGATTTATATTTGCTCCAAAATCACATAAATAATTAAAAGTAGAGCTATTTCATATTTATTTTTAGACTCCCTAAATCCTTTAGTTTAGGAGGTAATTTATGTTGCAGAATATTAATGTACTGCTCATTTAGCACGATTGTCTCAATCTCATTGAGCTTCCTTTTCTTTGATAAGAACCCTTAAGAACTTTGCATAGCTTGGTATTTGAGATATTGCTTCAAGTAATGAGATGTTGACATGAAGCTTTCTGAATATGTCCAAGAACTTTGCAAATTATTCTTCAAGCTTTTTCTTCTGCAATCTTTAAGGAAAGGGAATATGAGGCACATATGTCTTGATAGGAGCGGTTGCCCTAACCTATGGACTATTTGAATTTTGATTTGGAATGATTCAGACTAATTCACATGCTTCTCATCTATGGAAGGTACTTTTTCATTCGATACCACATGCCTCATAGCAATAATTTCTCGAAGTTGACCCCACTTCGCATAATAATTGCTTGAACAATTTTCCCCTCAAACAATTTTCTAATCCTTTAAGAAAAAGGAACAAGAGATATGTATACCTGAACTAGAGTTGGTGCTTTCACATGTGGATCTTCTTTTGTTTCATTTTCCACAACACTAATTGCCATTACATACTATTTGGAATTTGTCTCAGTGTCATAGGTAGGGTGTTTTACTATATTTCTAAAAGTGCCTTGGTTGTTTGTCCCATCTGATTTTCCAATTCTATATAGTAATCGCTTGAATCTGAATTTTTTTTTTTTTTTTTTTGCCTTTTCCATGAATTACGTTGATAGCTCCACTATCTCTGTAAATGTGTCTTCCCATGAAGTTTTATTTTTTCGTTGCTAAAAATTCGATGGTGCATTTTGATAGGTGCACCTTAAGAGATTGGTTATTACTCCAAGAGAAGTTTCGGTAATTTTTCCAACCCGATTGTATGTATTGGAATGGGGATTATTATACTACCCCTGATAGTTCTACATCTAATTTATATCCTCAACTAATTGAGCAAATGGACTCCTCACATTACAATCTACACTTTCATGATTTCATCCACAATGGTTGCATCTTAGCCCTGGTACTTGAACTACGTTTACTATTTGATTAGTTTCCATACCGTCACCATTTTTAGTTGCTATTAGTGTGTTAACCTCATGTATCATTTCAACTTTCTTTTGGCCTGATCTTTCTATTGGCCACAATGCACATGTATGCTAGATCCTCCATGATTTGATATACCAAATTCGTTGTCCTTTTTGTAATTGAACCATCACAGACAGTCAACATTATCCCTGCTTGTCATATTCAAACCAATGTAGAAGTATGGACCTAGAGCCATTTTTGTAAATTGTGTTGTGGACACTATCGAAGCAAATCTTCGTATCTTTCCCATGCCTCATAATAGCATTATGAATCAAGCTGAGAGAAGGTAGTGATTTCATCTTTCAACTTGGCAATCATCTATCGTGGGAAAGTTTGTTCAAAATTTTTTTACTCAGATTATCCCAAGTGGTGATGCTGTAAGGTGAGAGTCTGTCCAGCCATTCTCTAGCTAATCTCTCAAAGTGTATGAAAAGAGCCTCAACGGAATTGTATCACTAGAAACTCTCGGATATTTAATTGTTGCACACATGTCCAGAAACCTCGAGATAGAAGCGTTTGGATTGTAAGTTGGTCTCCCAAAGAATTGCAAGGCATTCTAGAACATGTTTATCACATCCATCCTCAAATAGAAATTAGCATGTCTGAATGCTCAATAAGCTATGCTGGATCGACTTTCTATCACTTGTGGAACCATGTTCCTCCATTAGTCTCTCATTCTCATTACCTGCGGCTACAATCGAAAGTGCTGCATTCTCATTCACCCAACGACTACTTGATTTGGTATATTTTTTGCCATTAATTATGCTTGCTATTTTTTGTGTTCTTGTATTTGTTCTTTTCTTCTCAATCGGAATGTTTACTCAATTTTTTGGTCAAATGGAGAAAATCACATTGTCTCGGACTTTGCATACAAGATTCTGAAAATAAAGAGATAAAACACTTTAATTTTTTTTCTAATATGAATTTAAAAGCTAAGAAAGCAAATAAAATAAATTTAGATTAAAGTTAAAACTAATTAAATACAATAGTCCCTTGCAACGACACTAAATACTTGGTTGTACGAAATCTCAAAAGTGCACGATATCGTGAATAAGTAATAAAATGATAAGCATTCGTTTTCACAAGAACTATGTACTTTATCTAGGCTCAATTAATTATCACTCTAATCAATTAGCCAATTTCTATGAAGAATTTATACTAATTAACTAATTAAACTACATATTCTAATGAGCAAATTATGAAAGCTTTTGTAAAACTATTGTGATGATTATTAAAATTTCAAATTTCTCTTATTAATCTACTCTAATACAATCTAATATCAAGACAACATGTATGCATTCTTGTTTATCAATGTTCCTAAACTATTTAATAATCTCTTCGAGTAGAATTAAATTTACCCTCTCAAATGGCCTTTTTATATGTCTATAATATATGCAAATATGAAAGCATGCATTAAAATACAGTTACATCTATTAAAATCATGTAAAGCATAAATGTACATCTCTATCCTCTATTGGATCTCACAATGATTGTTGTAACGTGCTATCTATCCATCCTATTGTCTTTCTTGATAACAATAAAATTCACACAACAATTTAATTAGTTGCTAATTAACTGAAAACCATTATGTTCTATAAAAATCATCCAAGAATAAACACATATTTGGCGTAGGAAAATTGAAATTATATTAAAAATTTCATAATAAGGGTTCATCTATATCTTAGTAAATAAGAATCTAGCTTAACATTGCAAAATTACAAGAAATCATGATTATTTGGTAGAATATCACACGAATTTTTGATAGATGAAGGAAAAGAAGATTAATCTTGATGTTCTTGAGTCTTTTTAATGGTTTCTTAATTGAATCCCGGTGTACCTTCCCTTAATAGCCCAAAAACTAAAGTTGGATCTTCAACTGATATAAATCTTGTAATTGCCTCATAATTCTCTTAAAAGAATAATGATTTTGCCTCCATTTGATTGCAATAATTGATATTTAATATGATATGAGAGGTCCCTTGAATGTTTTCCCACGTTCTTAATTTATATAAAGTGAAATTAGGATAAGAAACACGTTCAAATTGAATTTCAAAAGAGTTCCAATCAAATAAGAAAAATTGCCTTCGCGCCGTGCATGGTTATGTTTTTACGTAGCCGTTAACATTTTTGTCATATCTTTATTTTTCAATATCCGATTTAGGTGATTCAAAATCAGTTGAAAATCTAACTAAAAAAGATACAATTATTTTAGAAATATAATTTTTTCAATTAGAACGTTTAATATGCGAAAAATGGCTCTCAATATGTTGATGGAAATCTGAATTGATGAAAATATTTTGATAATATTTCAATGCTTCACTCTTTTAACTTCTAATTGCATTCAATTAGTCCGATATGATCTTCAATCATCGTTTTGTGGTTCGAATCAACTATGGCTATTTGCAATAGGTCGCCAAGCTTTGGAAATCCTCATTTTTCCCTTTTTTGCTTCTTTGTTCTAATTTCACTTCCAATCATCAATTTTTACCTATCAAACAAAATATACAAGAGATTAGACCATAATTAATCATAAGAACTCCTAAATGTCTATATTCAAAGGCCTCATATAAGTGCATAAATATCCACGTGGATTGCCTCATATAGAAACATTAGTTTCTATAGCAATAGCACTAACAAAGTGATTTACTTGAAATTAAGTTACCTGATTTGTGCTAATTAAAGTTTAGTGACTTAATCACAGTTATGGTGAAAGTTTGGCGACCATCAGTACAATTACTCCTTCATAAAACGATCCGGGTTAAGATTAATTTATGAGATTGTGTTCATACCCGGTAATAATATAATCACTAATTAAAAAAGATGAAAGAAATGCTAAAATAGGTTAATCATGAGTCAATCACACTAACTATATCGTCTCTTTGTTGAAGAGGGCTAGTTGATGCAAACATAATTCGGATTTCTTCATATAATTACCTCATGTGGCGAGGATACTGCGCCCCTTTTTGGTTTGGATAAAAAGTTAGATTTTTATTAAATTTTGATAAAAGTTAATGAAATTTGTGGCTGAAAAATTGATAAAAATTACGAATTTCATAAAATATATGATTGAAAATGAGTTTGGAAAAAAAATGAGTTTTAAAAAATTAAAACCAACTGGGCTACAACTAACATGTCTAACCTATTTCATAGTAAGCATGCTTAGATATGAATGCATGTCCAATAAATATTGGCTTTGCAAGAGACGCTAACACAAACCTATGCCATCAATAAAATAGAATAAATCAAAGTGTACAATATTAGTTGACAACAATGGTTAATAATTATGTGTTGTCAAAATCTTAGCATATGAAGTCAAAATCATTTTTTAAAAATTGATGGATATGATGATAACAAATAAGATATTATCAATCAATATGATACATGTAGCATGATTCAAGAAAATATCCTGCATTGCCAGCATGAATAAGACAGTACATAGGAACCAAAAAGTGGACCTAATAGTGGGACCCAAAATTAGTCACATGTTAATGCAAGTGATAATTTCAAGTTCACATGACTTCTATGCCTTCGTGCCCTCTCTGCCATTATATACCAAACCCCTAAAACTCAGTATCTAATTGCCTCGTTCTGCATTTTAACCTTGATAATATTATCATGTTCTTCAATTTTTCTTTTTCCCTTTCTTTTTCTTCTTTTCACAGATTTTCTCTACTGTTGTTGATTCTGTGTTTAGCTAGAGTTGATTTAGCTTCCACAACCAAAATTGGCAATGGCTACCGTTTGATCTCTGTGGATGAGTCTCCTGATGGTAGCCTTGTTGGCCACCTCCAAATCAAGCAGAAAAATAATATATATGGTGCTGATATTCCGCTGTTGCAGCTCTATGTCAAGTAAGTTTTACTGGATTCTAAGTGGCGGAGCTAAGAGGTAGCTCCTTAGGCTCCAGCCCTTATATATAATTAGCACATCCATCATAATTTTCTAGCTCTGCCGCCCCTACTAATACACGTTTTTTCAGACCGTTCATGTTCATGTTAGTAGTTTTTGTTTTATGAACTAAGCCCCTTGTACAGGTGGTTTGCAATGCAGACTGTCAGAATGCCAGGTGATTGTTGGACAAAAAACAAATTTAAACTGTTCAATGCAACGTTGTCACCTAACATTCTGTCAAACTACGTCGAAGACTCCCCTGTACATGTAACATGATTCTTGTTGTTTACAGACTTTTTCTGAAAGTCCAATGGCATCTTGCTCCGACCAAGCTAACTTTTAGTTTCAATGTTTTTTAGGCACGAAACAGATAACCGTTTAAGAGTTCATATTACTGATGCAGAAAAGCAAAGATGGGAGGTTCCTTACAATCTTTTGCCAAGAGAAAAGCCTCCAGCACTTAAACAAACAATTGGTAGGTCAAGAAAGGATGCATATACATATACACTAACACCTTCAGAATATGCAGGCAGTGAGTTAATATTCCTCTACACCACAGATCCTTTTACTTTTTCTGTGAAAAGAAAATCAAACGGCCAAACCCTTTTTGATTCAAGATCAGATGAATCAGACCCTTATAGTGATTTGGTGTTTAAGGATCAGTATCTTGAGATTTCAACAAAGTTGCCTGAAGATGCTTCACTATACGGTCTGGGAGAAAACACACAGCCCCATGGGATTAAACTGTACCCTAATGATCCTTACACTTTGTACACTACTGACTTGTCCGCCATTAATCTTAATGCTGATTTATATGGGTCCCACCCGGTATACATGGACCTGAGGAATATTGATGGAGAATCCTCTACACATGGAGTTTTACTATTAAATAGCAATGGGATGGATGTGTTTTACAGAGGGAATTCTTTGACATATAAAGTGATTGGCGGTGTTTTTGACTTTTACTTCTTTTCGGGTCCCACACCTCTTGATGTTGTGGATCAGTACACTCAATTCATCGGCAGGCCAGCTCCAATGCCCTACTGGTCTTTTGGTAAGTCTCTGACCCTCTTTCTCCTATGTGTTGCTTAAGGTATGACGGGTATATTTGATATGTTAGATGGGATAAAACGACGGGATAGTGATAAAATTTGTCAGTCGTTCTCTCCTTTCGAGCATACTAAACACATCGAAAGATAGTTTGAATTCTTATTAATATTTGAGATTTTATCTTTAAAATGTCAACCTTGTAAAGAATAACATTTCAAGCTCAAATATGTTTATTATTATTTTTTTATACTTAGTCAATATTTGATTTAACTTTAATATATTCTCAATAGATTGTGGCTTGTTTGAAAACACCAATCTTGAATTCCAAATGGCTTGTTTGAGCTTTTCGAAAATCTAAATACCATATTGAAGCTTGAGGCGTGATTTTTACAAGGTTGACCCGTAATGCTTTATATTGTTAGGCGAAAACTCAAAATTGATAATTAAGGTTATGGATAATTGTAGGAAAAGTTCAAAAATTTTGAAACACTAGCGGATTTTTTCTAAATTTTTGATTTGTTGCAGTCATCACCTCCAACCTTTCCAAACGTTGCAATGAAGTCCTTTTGAACAGTTTACATCCACAATTCTGTCAGTTGACAAAAAATTTAAATTTGACAACATTTTTAATATTTTAAAAAGGGAAAAAATAGTAACTTTCAATTTATCACATTAACTAATTAAATTTAAAAATAAGAAACAAAAACACACACAACACACAATTGTCTTCTTCCTCTCACTCCACCTCCAAGCCTCCATTTGAATTAGATTTCTTCGTTTTCTTTGAATTCACAAATAGGAAGTTGTTTTGATAAAAATTGTAAGGCAGGCGCCATGGGAATTAGGCTGTTTCACCTTGTTTAAATTGGCATAAACCTTCATGGCCCTAGATTTCGGTTTGATCAAATTGTCATCCAATTTATTTTCCTGCTTTTTTTTGGCAAGAAACTCTTCATTTTGGTTATAAAATAAATGATTGTCAGCCCCTGTACTTGTTCTTACAGGCTTAAGTTTTGGTGCAATAAAACAAGAAATTTTTGACTTCGTTGAATTTGAACCCCTAAAAAACTACGAATCAAATGAAGAAAGTGCTCCTAAACTGTCTGAAGAACTCGAATTTGAACTGAAAAACGTCAAATCATTTTCTTGTATTCATAAGTTTTCCAATCCTGCCCTTCTTTGAACAATAATTTTCGCATTAGTTTCCTTCTCCCTCCACAGAATTCCCATTTCTTCATCTTCTTTGCTGAGTTTTTACCCTTCCAACACCATGTTGTTTTGTGGTCGGTAGCAGGTGGTTGGTGGAGGTGACAGTGGTCAGTGTGGATTTTGGTTTTGAGGTGGGTGGCGGTTGAGGGTGTGTGTTTTTTTTTTATTTAATTATTTAATGTGATAAATGGAAAGTTACTCTTTTGCTTCTTTTTAAAATATTAAAATGTAGTCAAAGTTAAATTTTTGGTCAACTGACATAATTGTGGATGGAAATTGTCTAAAATGACTTTATCTACAACATTTGGAAATGTTTGGGGTGGCAACTGCAACAAATCAAAAGTTTGAGAAAAATCTGTTAGTATTTCAAATATTTAGAGCTTTTGCTGCAGTTATTCCCTCAAGGTTATGAGCAATCATAGAACAAATTATGAGATGACCTAATCAAGATTTTAATACGAAGTTAGGTGCCTGCTCATTTTTTTTTACTAGTATCTAGAGTGCCAAGTATCAGTCCATAAGATACATACAAATAAATAGGAAACAAAAAATGTATTTTAAATGATCGAGCTTATGCCCAAATCCATGAAATGGAACAATATCTTTTCTTGTCATGAGTCAGCATGTTCAACTTGTAAGCTTCTTCAATAATTTATTTTACACATGATTAGATATAGCTAAAAAACATGACATTAAATACTATGATAGTTACATCCATCTTGGATGCTTTGATCACAAGATTTGTTTTTTTCCTTTTGATGTTGATCTGTGATTGATTAAAATTTGGGCTGTTTCTTGATTTATGCATTATGTTAGCGCTAATCTTCTCTATAGGATTCCTATCAAATGTCCGGAAAGGATGCATTGGTCTATGATTGATTAAAATTTGGACCTTTCTTGATTTGTGTGTTACTTTAGAGATGATATTCTCTGTAGCGATTCAATTTATTGAACATCCCAAAGGGATATATATATATAGGGCTATGATTCATTGAATGCATTATTTTAAAAAATGTAGTATTAGAGCATTCAATGGTGGTGTAAAATAGATATTTAGATAACTAAAGTGACCGCAAACCTTTCCAATTGGGAGATGCAAATTGCATATTTAGGAAGAAAATGTAAAAAAAAAAAAAAAGATGTAAAGAAGCAAAAAGTGAGTTAGATCTTCTCATTGTAGCAGAATTTGGATTTAGATCCATCGGGATATAAATAAAAATGCAAAATTAATTTTGAAAATGCAAAATTTCACTTAATTTTACACCACCATTGAAGATGCTCTTGGCTGTGTTTTTGCAAACATTGTGATTCCCAGTAAATACTGAAAAATATAGGACCATTTAGAGGTGGAGTGGGGGGGTCCAAAAGTATTTGTTTTCTAGTTTCTTCCACTTGGGCCTAATAATTATGCAGTATCTTTTGACTGATTTTTCTTTTTTTCTTTTAGCTCTTTCTGAAATATCTATCTAGACTTTTTAGTGGTGTACTACTTTATCATTGACAAAAGGTAATAAACTTAGTGGATATTTTATAGAAGGCACCAATTGGACCACTACAAATTAGGTAAAGCATTGGACCAACAATCATTCTGATTTAATGACAATGTTGATGAGGGTTGTTCCACAAACTTAAGTATTGTCAAGCAATTTAAACATTTACCCTTAATATGAAATCCGTAAAATTTGAAGTAATAAATTCATAGACCCAAAAATTGGGATTGGGGATTTTTCATGTTTTCTTAGTCAAAAAGGCATGAAACTGGATATTGATTCCTGGTTCCAACAATGCTGTTTAGGATTTTGTATCAAGTGGTTGGTACATTACAAATATCAGAACTCCTATAAGTTCTACTGTATATTAAAGTAAGTGAGACTGAGCTCGGATTAAAGTTTCGTAGTTGTCTAGTTATGACTAGAAGCTTGTCTGGTATTTGGTGAAAAAATGAATACAACTGGCATGTGAAGGATCGATAAATTTAGTTCATCTCAAATGATTTGAACATTTAGATGATCTCTGCTGGGAGTTGTTAATCTGGCTCGAATTCCAGTCTTAACGAAAATTATAAACCAACAATTCTTCTGTTTTATGATGCCACAGGGTTCCATCAATGCAGATGGGGATACCATAATTTATCAGTAGTCGAAGATGTAGTGGAAAACTACAAGAAGGCCAAAATCCCACTTGATGTAATCTGGAATGATGATGATCACATGGATGGACACAAAGATTTCACCCTCAATCCCATAAATTATCCTCGTCCGAAGCTACTTGAATTCTTAGAGAAAATTCATGGCCAAGGCATGAAGTACATTGTCATAATAGACCCGGGAATCGGTGTTAACACTAGTTATGGCGTCTACCAGCGAGGCATAGCTAACGATGTCTTTATTAAGTATGAAGGTAAGCCCTATCTAGCACAAGTGTGGCCTGGTGCTGTTAACTTTCCCGACTTCCTTAACCCAGAAACAGTTGAATGGTGGGGTGATGAAATCCGTCGTTTCCATGAATTAGTGCCTGTGGATGGCTTATGGATTGACATGAATGAAGCGTCCAACTTTTGTACTGGTTTGTGCACTATACCAGAGGGCAGGATCTGTCCGAATGGAACAGGCCCGGGTTGGGACTGCTGCCTCGACTGCAAGAACGTAACAAAAACAAGATGGGACGATCCACCTTACAAGATAAATGCATCGGGAATACAAGCACCTATAGGATACAAAACCATAGCCACTAGTGCATCTCACTATAATGGAGTACTGGAGTATGATGCACACAGTATTTATGGTTTCTCTCAAGCTATTGCAACTCACAAGGCTCTTCAAGGGCTAGAGGGAAAGCGTCCGTTCATATTATCGCGTTCTACATTTGTTGGTTCGGGCCATTATGCTGCTCACTGGACAGGGGATAATAAAGGAACTTGGGACGATTTGAAGTACTCAATTTCCACAATGCTGAACTTTGGGATATTTGGGGTTCCAATGGTTGGTTCAGATATATGTGGATTCTATCCTGCTCCTACCGAAGAGCTATGCAACCGTTGGATTGAGTTGGGCGCGTTTTACCCTTTCTCAAGGGATCACGCAAACTTCTATTCCCCTCGGCAGGAGCTTTATCAATGGGAAACAGTGGCAGAGTCTGCTAGAAATGCTTTAGGAATGAGATATAAGCTTCTTCCATATCTGTATACTCTAAATTATGAGGCGCATACTAGTGGCGCGCCCATTGCTCGACCACTATTTTTTGCGTTCACAAATGAGACAAAATGTTATGGATTGAGCACCCAATTTCTGCTAGGCAGCAGTCTCATGGTGTCTCCAGTGCTAGAGGAGAAGAAGACCAACACCGATGCTCTATTTCCTCCAGGAAGTTGGTACAATTTATTTGATATGACACAGGTCATCGTATCGAAAGAAGCACACTACATCACACTAGATGCACCTCTACATGTAATCAATGTGCATTTGTATCAAAACACCATAATTCCAATGCAGCAGGGAGGATTGATCTCTAAAGAAGCACGAATGACGCCTTTTTCTCTTATAGTAACCTTCCCAATGGCGGCTACTGTAGGAGAAGCCAAAGGAAATCTTTTCGTGGATGATGATGAGCTCCCGGAGATGAAACTCGGGAATGGCTATTCGACCTATGTCGATTTCTATGCAACAGTGAGTAATGGAATGGTGAAGGTATGGTCCGATGTTCGGGAAAGTAAATTCGCCTTAGACAAAGGTTGGATAATTGAGAAGGTAACAGTACTAGGTTTGGATGGGATTCAGGGTGGTTTTGAAATTGAAGTTGATGGAAATCCAGCTGCAAATACCTCAAAAGTGGAGTTTAGCACAGCAGAACACGAGTATACAGAGAAATTGGAAGATAGTGATCAAGATATGATGAAGAGTGTGATGATAGAGGTTAAAGGACTGGAATTGCCAGTGGGGAAAAACTTTTCAATGTCCTGGAAAATGGGAATCAAAGCTTGAGAGAATCATATCATATCACTCTACAATTGACACATTCTATGTCATGTTCAGCGTACCGAGCATATCCAAAATGTCTATCAAAGTTCGAAAAGGAGAGGAGATGGGCTGAAGTTATTGTCATCCCTTTTCATACCTACAGGCAAAGATACACAAAAAGATATATGATCCTTGCTTGTATTAGAGTTTATTGCAAAGTTGTAGTTTTGAAATGGCATTTGATGTATGCTTAGGCATATTTTAATAAAACATTTGGAACTTTGGATCTTCTTCTTCCCTTTCTCTTTATATTTACTAGATCAGATCTTGCCCAAATTGTTACCAATTACTATTGGAAATAAACATGATTTAATAATATTGAAAGTTTCTTGAGACCACACAAATTTATATGTTCATAAGACACATGTATGTGTCAATTCAAGGTATTGAATGTATGTGAGGTATTCTAGAAGTCATTTGAGACCTATAAAAAGCTCGTAGAATGAAGCGTTTGAAAGTGTTACGAAAGTTGAAAACACATAGTAGAGTTGTAAAGAGAAATAATTTGTTTTGAAATTGAGCAAAATATTATTTTCTCCTACAAATGTTTTTCTTATCAAGTGATTTCTCACCTCTAGTTTCTCAACAAATTGGTATCAGAGCTACAATTCTAATAGAAATTGTTGATTTGAGAAATGGCCAACAACAATTTGGTTCCTTTCCAAGTTCCTCGCCTCACTAAAGAAAATTTCAGCACATGGTGTGTTCGTATGAAGGCTTTACTTGGTTCACAAGATGTATGGGAGATCATTGACAAGGGATATATGGAACCGAAAAATGAAGCTTCCTTAACACAAGGGCAAAGGGATGCATTGTCCAATACAAGAAAGAAGGATAAGAAAGCTGTCACCATAATTCATCAAGCAATTGATGATAGGAGGGATGGCAACGGTTCGGTTCGGTCAAAACCATAACCGCAACACCAAATATATGGTCATACCATAAACGCACCATAACCACGAAAG